CTGAATAGACACTTCCAAAGAGGACGTACAGATGACCAATAGACACATGAAAAAATGCTCAATGTTAATAATTATCAGGGAAATGCAAATTAAATCCACAATGACAGATCACCTCACAGCTGTCCTAGAATGCGTATCTTCAATCAATCAACAAACAACAAGAGAATGTGGAGAAAAGGGAACCCCCGTGCACTGTTGGTGGGAATGCAAATTGGTAGAGTCACTACGGAAAACAGTATGGAGGTCCCTCAAAAAATTAAAAATAGAACCGCCATATGACGCAGCAATCATACAGAAAAATAATAATTGTTGGCAATTATGTGGAAAAATTGGAACCCTTGTGCATTGCTGATAGAAATGTAAAATACATTTCCCACAGTACAGCTGCTATGGAAAATGGTATGGCACGTACTCAAAAAATTAAACACATAATTAACAGATTAACAACAAAAATCTGTAAAAGCAAGTGAAATTCATTCTTAACAATACTGTTCAATAACTGACAGGTTTAGGTGTTTTCTTTTAATATATTTTAGATTTCAGTGAGGAAGGATGAGGGAGAGATAGAAACATCAATGATGAAAGAGAACCACCAACTGGCTGCCTCCTGCACGACCCCCACATTAATTCCCCACAGGGATACACCGCAACCCGTGCATGTGCCCTTGACTAGAATCGAACCCGGGACCCTTCAGTCCTCAGGCCGACGCTCTATCCACTGAACCAAACCAGCAAGGGCAGATTTAGGTGTTTTCTACAGAACAGCTACTGATAAATCACATAATAAATAGCATAGGTTTTAAACACCTCACACTTCTGCAAGATTTGAAACCTCTCCAAATAAGCCCTTTCCTGCTCTACACATATTTTTACAACCATCAACTGTAACATTAGCTCTGCCAATCCCCACTTAAGGTTACACTAAATTAGTGATTTCGCACCTGTAAAAATATTCTCACCTGCTGTGGTTCTACGCCGACTGTTCAGAGGCCAATTCTTCAATCTTCAAACCGAACATTGAGCCCTGAATAAACAACGGATCAAGTGCCTAGGAAAACGATTCAAAATGGTTTGGCCTGTTTTTAATTAACTATTGATATTGTTTTCAATGTTCTCCACTCTTCAAGCAACCATTTCCATCCAAAGGATAGCTGCCTTAAATAAGTTTATTTTCTCTGGGCATTTTTTTTTTTCCCCAGAGAAATTAACTCACATTGGTAAACAGCTGTCCATGTTTAGGGAATGAATAAGCTACTCATACCTTACAACATTCGAAACCCACTTTTTTTTAAATCATGTCCCTATGCACCAATAATTTTTTTAAAAATCACTCAAAAGACTTTAAAAAAATTGTTTATTGACTCCAGAGAGGGAGAGAGAGAAGGAGGGAGGGAGAGAATTAACCCTAAATTGGTTGCCTGCTGGAGGCGCCCTGACCTGGCATCCAAAACCCAGGCACGTGCCCTGAGCAGGAACCAAAGCTGGGAGCTTCCGGTGCAAGGGAGCCAGGGCTTGAGACACTTTTTTGAAAATTAAGCTTTTTTTATTGAACTTTTTTTTCCCCTATTTACATTATTGATTTATTCATGGGAATGTATCGTATTGTTATTTAAATCTCCAAACTTCTTTCGTTTAAAAATATTTTTTTTATTGATTTCAAAGAGGAAGGGCGAGAGAAACATCAATGATGAGAATCACGGATGGGCTGCCTCCTGCACGCCCCCTACTGGGGATGCAGCCCACAACCCGGGCATGTGCCCCTGAGCGGAAGGGAACCAGAATCGAACCGGGACCCTTCAGTCCGCAGGCCGAGGCTCTAACCACTTAGCCATACCAGCCAGGGCGGAATGTGCCTTTTTAAATCAGCACAAAACCATCACTGTTAACAGAGCATGATTAATATTTCCTGCAATTATAGCTGGTCCCCAATATTCTATTTCTGCCCCATCAGTGTTACCTGTGTCCCCTCTGCCCCCCACTGGCCCCTTTTAGTCCAGCCCAGCTCCCCCCACAACATTTTTTTAAAAACACTTCCAGATGCTGCTGGACATGAGGAAAAGCATGAGTGCCCTCAGCTAGCCGCGCACTGATGCCAGTCTTTGATCAGGTATATGATGTCTCGCAATCATATTTTTGACCTGCCAACCGTAGGGCTCA